TTGGCCCTCCAGAGGAACTGATCGGCCACTGTGTGAGACAGGATGCTGGGCTAGAGGGACCACTGGTCTGATCCAGCAGGGCTCTTCTGATGTTCTTATCAGGGAAGGCCTCGGCCTCTATGCCCTGTTGTTGGCCCTCCAGAGGAACTGGCTGGCTCAGAGGAACTGGTTGGCCCCTGTGTGAGACAGGATGCTGGACCGGATGGACTGCTGGTCTGATCCAGCAGGGCTCTTCTGATGTTCTTATAATGGAATCTCTCATTTAGGAGCAGAATGTTGATTTGGGGGCAAAACACATTTTGGGGAGGTCCTGAAATCTCCCCACCACAAAAAACACACGACACTTTGAGCTCCTGTGGTTTCCCCTTTTGCATCTCACAGACTGGGCTTATAGGGTGGCTTCCACTAGCAGATATACCACAGTCATTTTTGGATTACCAACCTAAGACCACACAAAGTGCCCCAGACCCATCTGACACCCTCATTTCCACAACAGCCAGCTGGACGCTGCCAACGAAAACCCACATATAGGGCACGGAGTCACAGCCCTCCCCTCTTTCCCCCCACTTCCTCTCAAAACCGAAGCAGACCGCCTCTGAACATGCAGCCGCCACAGTCAATGGCCTCCAATGGACCTCTCCTCTGCAAACAGGTCGGAACCAATGTTCCCTCTATGCTGAGTTAGTGTGAGCTAGCTCACAGTTTTTTAGCTTCTGGCTCACACATTCTTGTCTTCGCTCAGGAAGGAGGGCTCCAGAGCTAACTCATTGATGCAGCAGCCAAATTGCTCACTCACAACTTTAATGCCACTCGCTCGCAAAGTACAATTCTTGGCCACAAGACTCCGCAGCTTAGAGGAAGCATTGGTCTGAACTCCCTTTGAAAGCCGCCATCCCATCCTGTGGCAGTAAGTTCCCCAAGTTAACTGGGCCTTGGGCTAAGAGGCCCAAATGCAGGAGCTACGCAAAGGTTGCCGCTTTCCCAGATATGCAGTTTGAACGCCCAGTGTTTTTATATGTGATTTACTCCTGGGGGGGGGGGAATTAATTATGTGCGTTCTGATTTACGAACCCAGCAGGGCACATCGCTGGGCATCAGAGGGGAATATCACAAGTGGGCAAGGACATCCGGGCTTATCTTATCTGCCAGGCTGGGCGGTGGCTCGGCGTGCCAGTCCACTCCTTTACGTGCCAGGATTGTTTTCTGCCCACCCCGAAACTGGTTTCCTAGGGAGGCCGCTTTCCTTGCCAAGGCTGTTTGCTTTGGCATTGCATGACTCGGTCTGTTGCCGGGCACAGTTTGGCACGGAGAGCCAGCCTGGTGTACTGGTTAAGTGCGTGGACTCTAATCTGGGAGAACCGGGTTTGATTCCCCACTCCTCCACTCGCAGCTGCTGGATGACCTTGGGCAAGCCATAGTTCTGGCAGAGCTGTCCTTGAAAAAGAACAGTTTCTGTCAAGAGCTCTCTCAGCCCCACCTACCTCACAGGGTGTCTGTCGTGGGGAGGGGAAGGGAAAGGAGTTTGTAAGCTGCTCTGAGACTCCTTTGGGTAGTGAAGGGCGGGGTATAAATCCAATCTCTTCTTCTTCTTCTTTTACCTCACAGGGTGTCTGTCGTGGGGAGGGGAAGGGAAAGGCATTTGTAAGCTGCTCTGAGACACCTTTGGGTAGTGAAGGGCGGGGTATAAATCCAATCTCTTCTTCTTCTTCTTCTCTCTCAGCCCCACCCACCTCGCAGGGTGTCTGTTGTGGGGAGGGGAAGGGAAAGGCCTTTGTAAGCCGCTCTGAGACTCCTTCTGGTAGTGAAGGGCAGGGTATAAATCCAATCTCTTCTTCTTCTTTTACCTCGCAGGGTGTCTGTTGTGGGGAGGGGGAGGGAAAGGCATTTGTAAGCCGCTCTGAGACTCCTTCTGGTAGTGAAGGGCAGTGTATAAATCCAATCTCTCCCCCCCCATTCTTCTCCTTCTCCTCCTCAGAAACGATTTGGGAACCAAAGGCAAGTGGTGGAAGCACCAAGTCAGGCTCTGCCCCAAAGACCATCTAGGGCTCTTCCCTAGAGCATTTAGCAAGGAGGCTTGAAGAGACTGGTGTAAAGTTTATTTAGCGGCGTTTGGGCTGGGAAATGTGGTGTTGAAAAGCAACTTGAGAAACTTCTCAAACCTACGTGGGGGGGTCACAGACCTGCTAAAGGAGGGTTCATGGGGTGGGGCCCGGGAGCTAAAGGGTGGAGCTTGAGGGAGCAGGGGGTGGAGTTAAAGGGCGGTGTTTGTAAAAGTCGAGGTAGAACCTTGGAGCGAAGAGGAGGTGCTTGTCGGAACGGGGGGGGGGCCTGGAAAGGGGTGGGGCTTGTCAAGGGAGAGGTGGAGTCCAAGATGGAGAGCAAGGGCTGACAGGAGGTTGATGGTGAACCTCATCCCCAAACCTTTCTTTCTTACAGACACGCTACAGATCTGGGCACCCTAATGAGTGGCCTTGTGTGTTCCTCTTTTCGGGGCCCCCCCCCCCCCCCCCCCCCGGCCGTCTTTCAGACATATTAGGTTGGATTAACTAGAGAGCCTTTCGGTCCCTCACACCTTCCATTTTAAAGCAGGGATGTAAAATTTCTTTTGGTTTCAAAAGCTTCACTCATTTCCCCTTTATCTAGTAACTCTGTTTCCATTGGTTTAGGATTCGTTAATTATCTCCTGATCCTTCCTGGCTCTCTCTGCCTCTCCCTTGTTCCTGATCCACATCTGTTGCAAGGTCCGTTTGACTTTGTTGATTGGAAAGCTTCCATGTTAGTTTATTCTTTCCAGCTCCTCTCCTTTCTCTCTGCCCGCTCGAACTTTCACTGAAAAGGGTGTTTGCTAGTTCATCGGTATTTCCATTTATGTCTGTTACAATAGCAGACAGGACCAATATGATTTTTTATCCCCCCCCCACCGTTCGTTTAAAAATTAATGCAACCCCTAAACAAAAGACCACAGAAAAGGTAACTGACTGCTCGTACCTCTTGTGGGTCAACCATGCAGTAGTGATAAAGGTACTGGTTGAAGGAGGACCCGGTGGTGTAGATCTGGTTGCACATGGTCAGCATAGGATTATAGTAGTAGCTGCTGGACATCTGTGCCCGGGGGTTGACCCCCACGATGTAGACAATGGAAGCGATGAGCATGACGAAGGCCAAGATGGCACACACGATGATGACCACCAAGTAGAACTTCCTGGAGCGGGACCCACCGGACTTGGTGAGGCTGGTGATCAGGAGCGCCAGGAGAGCGATGAACGCCATCACGGACATGGCGATCATGAAGCCGTTGGCAGCCCGAGGGTTGGTGATGCCTCCATAACCGCCGTAACTGCCATAACCGCCATAGCCCCCATACCCTCCTACTCCTCCGTAGCCCATGCCGCCGCTGTATCCGCCCCCATAATAGTTGCCCATCGTGCCACCGTAAAGACCTCCGTAGCCATAACCGTATTCCCAGGCCAGGGTGGACGCCACGCAAGCAAAGATGGCCACGCAGAGCAGGATGCCAATGCCCTCCAAGATCCTCACCACGCCCGGCGGAGAATTCCACTTGTAGAAATACTGGGGCACATCTTCTACGTAGTAGGAGCCGGGAGGAGGCGACTGGATTTTGTACCCAAAATCATCCACAGGGGAGCCGTAGCCATTGGGGGGACCGTCGTATTGCTTCTTGCTACTGAACATTCTTCATGAAAGTGGGGAGACTCCCAGACGGCCAAGACAACATTCGGTGGTGATCAGCTGTCAAGAAACACACACACAAAAGACTGTTAAAGAGGGTATCATTTTCTGTAGGAATCATAAGACTTCCGTGTTTGGGTAAGTTTGGGTGATTGTATTAGTACATTTTGTGGTTAGTATCTGAGATCATGATTCATGCTTAACCAAACTGGTGGCAGCAGGGGAACCGAGCTGAACACATTCACGTTCCTCGAAAAATGCCTCGTCGCTGCTGATTTGATTTAATTTAATTTAATCCGCACATTTAACTTAATCTCAGTCATTGTTTACTGATTATTTTTTTTAGTGGTTCGATTTTTATTTCTATGCTCTTTTTTTTTAACTCTGTTTCCCGTTTTCACAACGTGCATACGCCACCCCCCAAAAGCAGATAGGTGTTTAAAATAAACAAATACATGAGGAGAAGGAGGAGGTGATTGGATTTATACCCCGCCCTTCACTACCCAAAGGAGTCTCAGAGCGGCTTACAAACTCCTTTCCCTTCCCCTCCCCACAACAGACACCCTGTGAGCAGTGTTCCCTCTAAGCTGAGTTAGTGTGAGCTAGCTCACAGGTTTTTTTAGCCTCCGGCTCACACAACAACAAATTTATTCACAGCAAAAAGCCAGCACTCTAATACAACAAACTCAAACTAAATTCATACAACCACAAGCATAAATGAAAGATATAAAATGAGTATCAAATAGAGCATGCACGTAAAACCTGTTAAGTCCTGTAACAAATTACATCTATTCATCGTTCAAATCAAATACCTTAAAATTCTCTCCTCTTTATAAGAGTGAACTATTAAAAAAATACCTTTATTGGCATACAATATTAGAAACAATTCCCAATATTAATACAATCCAATAGAAATTATAAAATAGATAATCGTGGTAAAACCATTCCAAGGATATATCAGGCCTATAACATAACTCAAGTTATCACAAGATAGATTTGGCCGTACAAAATCATAAAATAAATTTGAATTCTAAACTTAAAATTGAGGGTTTTTTAAAATTATAAATTAAGACTCATTAATCTGATCAGGGTCATTCTTCCGTTTTATAAAGCCGTGAAGAAACTTGGCGGTCAGTTCAATGATCTCCGGATCTCGTCAAGCAAGGAGATAATGTACCTTGATTCTATCTGGTTGGCCTGCTACCAACCTAAGGGGGGCTTCTATAAATTCCACTCGAATGTCATTTAACAATTTACAATGTAAGAGTACGTGCTCCACAGTTTCTATTTCTCTTCTATTACATCCACAAAACCTGACTGAATAAGGGATTTTCTTATATCTCCCCTCAATAATAGCAGAGAGGAGAACATTAAAACGAGCCAACAAATAAGCTCTACACATTTGCAGTATTCATCTTTCACTAGGAGCTTTCTAGTCCCAGCTCACACATTTTTGTCTTGACTCAGGAAGGATGGTTCCAGAGCAAACTAATTTATGCAGCAGCCAAATCGCTGGCTCACAACTTTCAGGGCTCTTTTTGTAGAAAAAGCCCAGCAGGAACTCATTAGCATAATAGGCCACACCCAACAGCAGAACCCCTGATAGCACAGCACATTAGCCAAACCCCTGATAGCACAGCACATTAGCATATTAGGCCACACCCCCGTGTTACCAGAAGCGTGGTCATCCATCCAGCCACACCCACCTTTTGCTTCTTATTCTGTTTACCTTGTTTGTTGTCCAAACCCAGGGCTTTTTTTGGAGCAGGAACTCCTTTGCATGTTAGGCCACACACCCCTAATGTAGCCAATCCTAATGAGTTTCTGCTGTTGGGTGTGGCCTGTTACGCTAATGAGCTCCTGCTGGGCGTGGCCAACTCAGGAACCAGCTGGAACTTTGTTCCTGTGCGTTCCTGCCCAAAAATAGCCCTGAGTTTACTGCCGGTAGCTCACAAAGTAGAAGTTTTGCTCACAAGACTCCATAGCTTAGAGGGAGCATTGCCTGTGAGGTAGGTGGGGCACACGCCCCTTCCTCGCACGTGCATCACCTATACCTAGGACGGACCGCCCCCATTCCCTCAGTTCCCACCAAGCCGCCGGGAGCTCCCAAAGCAATTCCTCTTTTTCTTTTTCAATGCGAGCTCACAGAGGGGTAGGACGGAGGGAATGTGTGTCTGCAGAGAAGACGTCAATGAAGAACAGCTGTGCCAGAACTACGGCTTGCCCAAGGTCATCCAGCAGGTCAGGGGTCGTTTCGTAGAAAAAGAGCTAGGGGAACTCATTAGCATAACTCATTAGCATATGCCACACACCCTGACATCACCGGAAGTGTGTCATAAGGCCACACCCCCTGACATCACCGGAAGTGTCTCATAAGGCCACACACCCCGCCCCCAACGGTCCCGGCCGCCGCTGGTGGCCTTGCAGCTCCACTGCTGAGCCCCATGAGGGGCCCGGCGGTAGACCTGCAAGGCCGGCGGGAGTGCGAGGAAGCCCCGCCAAGGCCCTCCCTGGCCCCAGGCAGGCAGGGGTGGGGAGAGGCGGGGAGGAAGCAACTTACCCTCCCTCTTCTCCTGCCTCCTCCTGGCTGAATGAGGGCTGGAAGTGGGGTGGCCGGAAGCAGGGGGCGGGGCTTCGTCATGTGCCCCGCCTCCCACACCATCCCCCGCGAAATGACCTCTGCAGCAGGTGCAAGTGGAGGAGTGGGGAATCGAACCCAGTTCTCCCAGATTAGAGTCCGCGCACTTAACCACGACACCAAACTGGCTCATAAACAAAACTCTGGGCCTGCAGCAATTCTCGGGGGTGCTTTCTGGCAAGTGTGGGGAAACTCCGTATCAAAAGGAAAGCCCCTGCCCTGCCGGCTCACCTTTTCGATCCATGGGCTTTGATTAACCATTACAAAGAAATCAAAAATCACTTCCCCTGGAGTCCCGCCCCATTCAATTTGAAATTTCAAGATCTCCCTCCCCTCCAAGATTTTACAGGTGGTTCAACGAAAATGTCAGCGGACTACACATTTAAAAGAAAACTAGTACGACTGGTCAGCCGTAAAGGTAAAGGTTCCCTTGCTCGAAAGCCAGTCGAATCCGACTCTAGGGTTGCGGTGCTCATTCTCGAACTGCTGAACTACTGACCTTCCACAGCCTGCAGTTCAGCGTCTTAACCACTTGAGCCACCGCAGCTCAAACAAACAAGTAAAATAAATACGTCATCAAAACAATTATTTTATAACCGCGCCCAAACCCACTCAGAATATGCCTGGGAGAACGAAAAATATCTTCACCTGGCCTCTAAAATCCCAAAGAACAGGAACCCAGTGAAAAAACACTGAAGGGAGGTGGAGCCTTTCCATTGGTGAGGTGGCACCACCAAAGAGGTCCCATCGCTTATAGCCAGGGGGCATTTCCTGCAGGAGCGCACAGGAGCGGAGCTCCGGCAGTAAAGAGGCCAGGGGGCGGGCACATGCAACAAGCCCCACCCCCTGCTCCCAGCAGCCCTCAGTCAGAGCAAGAAGCAGCCAGGTAAGTTGCAGAGGCCCCCCCTCGCCCCCCGGTCCAAAACAGTCCAGTGGCACCTTTAAGACCAAGTTTTATTCAGGTACAAGCTCTCCCTCCTCTGCGAGGACAGATCTGCACATCCCCCCCCGCCCAAGTAGCTAGCAATCCAAAACAGTCCAGTGGAGCCTGAGCGGTGGGTGTTGCCTTCTGACACACTTCCAATAATGTCAGGGTGTGTGGCTTATGCAAATGAGTTATGCTAATGAGTTACGCTAATGAGCTCCTGCACCTCTTTTTCTACAAAATGACCCCTGCTTATAGCTACACATCTTGCTTCAGATGGGAGTATACTGAACAGACCCTTGGTGGGAGACCTTGACTGTGGGGCAAGTGGGCCTTAAAATCCTTTGCTCCTGAGATTGTCTGGGGGTCTGAAGGCTATAACCAACATTCTGACCGATTTCACACAAGAGCTGCGCCGCGGTCGCGCCTCCCTTTGCCCCACTTCTATTGGTCAATTTCTCACTTGAAGCCGCGCGGCCGCATTTTGACCCGTGGCTTCGCCCGATTTTCCCCGCAGTTTCATGATCCTCAAAAAACAAAACTACGGAAACCATGGGGAAAATCGGGCAATGCGGCCATGCGGCTTCAAGTGGGAAATTGACCAATAGAAGCAGGGCAAAGGGAGGCACGACCGCAGCGCAGCTGTTGTGTGAAATCGGTCTCTGAGTTATATGCTGTCGAGGACTTTCACGGCCGGAGTTCAATAGCTGTTGTAGATTTTCTGGGTTGTATGGCCGTGTTGTAGATTTTCCGGGTTGTATGACAATGCCCATACAACCCGGAAAATCTACAACAGCTCATTCTGAGTGATCCGTGAACATAAATAAGCACCCAACATTGTTCTTTTAGAAGCGGCCAGATACGACTCCATTAATGAGCGATGCTCCCTCTAAGATGTGGAGTCTTGTGAGCAAACATTCTACTTTGCGAGCTACTGGCATTAAAGCTGGGGGCGAGCAATTTGGCTACTCTTGGGGATTATTAGGAAGGGTATTGAAAACAGATCAGCCAATATCATCATGCCCCTGTATAAATCAATGGTGCGACCTCATTTGGAGTACTGTGTGCAATTCTGGTCACCACACCTCAAAAAGGATATTATAGCTTTGGAAAAAGTGCAGAAAGGGGCAACTCGAATGATAAAAGGGTTGGAACACTTTCCCTATGAAGAAAGGTTAAAGCGCTTAGGGCTCTTTAGCTTGGAGAAATGACGACTGAGGGGTGACATGATTGAGGTTTATAAGATTATGCATGGGATAGAGCAGGTGGAGAAAGAGGTACTTTTCTCCCTTTCTCACCGTACAAGAACTCCTGGGCGCTCCATGAAATTGCTGAGTGCTCAGGTTAGAACAGATACAAGGAAGTCCTCCTTCACCCAAAGGTGGAATTCACTGCCACAGAAATGTCTCTGAGGAAGCCCAGGAAAGCTCACACCCTGCCCCATCTTTTGTTAGTCTTTCTAAGGCGCTCCTGGACTCCGGCTCTTTTCCTCCAGCGAGGCGCTGCGCTCGGAAAGGAAGGGGCCGCCGGCAAGGAGGCCTTTCCAAAAGGCCTGCCAAACGTTCCCACCAGTGTCCCTTCTAAGCTGCATTAGTGTGAGCTGGCTCACCGTTGTTTTAACCTCCAGCTCACAGATTTTTGTCTCTGCTCAGGGAGGACGGGCCCCAGGGCAAACGAATTCTGGCTCGCAGCTTTTAACGCCAGGAGCTCACAAGGTCGACTTTTTGCTCACAAGACTCGGCGGCTTAGAGAGAACAATGGTTGGGGGGGGGGGGGGGGAAGAGAGAGATCCCTCGGAAGCCTCCCGGCGCCACGTTGCTCCCAACTCCTTCCCAAAACGAGAGAAGGGGCTTTTTTGGGGGGGGGACGACTCTTACCCCGACGGGCAGCTGCTTCCCAGAAGACGGACCTTCGGGGCTGGCTCCTGCCGGCCGCCCTTTGCAAAGTCCGGTGCCAACCGGCCGGACGACGTCAAGGCTGCTGCTCCTGGAAGACACGGAAGAAAGCGAGGCAGCAGAAGCAGGAGCCGTCCGCGCCGACTCTCGCCTTTCACCTAATGAATAATTCCTCCCCGCAACGGCCGCCAGGAGCCGGCTGGGCAGAACTCCGCCTCCTCCTCCGCCCCGTGCAAAGCTACGGGCGTCAGGAAACGGTGCGCTTCTGCGGGAGGCCGCCACTTGCAGTGTTCCCTCTAAGCTGTGGAGTCTCGTGAGCAACAATTCTACTTTGTGAGCTACCGGGCGTTCAAGTTGTGAGCGAGCAGTTTGGCTATTGCATCAATGAGTTTGCTCTGGAGCCCTCCTTCCTGGGCGGAGACAAAAATGTGTGAGCTGGAGGATAAAAAACTGTGAGCCGGCTCACACTGACTCAGCTTAGAGGGAACACTGGACTGGGAACGTTTTGCAGGCCTCATTACAATGCAAAGCATATAACTGCATTAAATCTTTGTATCGTAACTTGGGTGCTAGGCGGAAATATGAAACTGTTTTAATAATCAGATAAGAGGACATTCTAGTAACAGTTCGTAACCGCCTCTGTGCAACACTAGACATTTTTCAGAAGAGAAGTAAGAATAAATCATATGAACAGTCAGAAGGGAAAGACGGAAAAAAGAAAAGAAAAGAAATTTAAGTTTTTATGAGAACTGTTATCAATTAAGATTATATCCATTTATGATATTGGGATGATTTGTGGGACAAGTAATCCAGCACTGGGAACCATTTTTCTGTAAAATTGAATTCGTTTGCCCTGAAGCCCTCCTCCCTGAGCAAAGACAAAAATCTGTGAGCTGGAGGCTAGAACAACGGTGAGCCAGCTCACACTAATGCAGCTTAGAAGGAACACTGGTGGGAACGTTTGGCAGGCCTTTTGGAAAGGCCTCCTTGCCGGCGGCCCCTTCCTTTCCGAGCGCAGCGCCTCGCTGGAGGAAAAGAGCCAGAGTCCAGGAGCGCCTTAGAAAGACTAACAAAAGATGGGGCAGGGTGTGAGCTTTCCTGGGCTTCCTCAGAGACATTCCTGTGGCAGTGAATTCCACCTCTGGGCGAAGAAGGACTTCCTTTTACCTGTTCTAACCTGAGCACTCAGCAATTTCATGGAGCACCCAGGAGTTCTTGTACGGTGAGAAAGGGAGAAAAGTACCTCTTTCTCCACCTGCTCTTTCCCATGCATCATCTTATAAACCTCAGTCACCCCTCAGCCAAGCTAAAAAGCCCCAAACGCCTTAACCTTAGAGGGAACACTGGCCGCAAGCCCCCAGCCTCCTGTTTACTAGTCCTGCGGGGGGGGGGAGCCCCTGCCGGGGCGGAGACTCTGCAGGGGAGGGAGATGCCCACGGAACAAGGGGTGGGGAGGGAGGAGGAGGAGGAGAGAACCGGTCTGGCGTGTTTCTGCGCCTTGAACTGCAAGAATCCGGCGCTGGAGGGTTGGTGAAGGGAGGCAGCCGGGTTCGAGACAGGGCCGGGTTAGGGCGCTCGGAGCCCTGAAAAAGACAAGGGCGTCCAATGTTCTCTCTAAGCAGTGGAGTCTTGTGAGCAAAAATACTACTTTGTGAGCTCCTGGCATTAAAGTTGTGAGCCAGCGATTGGGCTGCTGCATCGATTTGTTTGCTCTGGAGCCGTCCCTTCCTGAGCTGAGACAAAAAAAATAATTCCGGATTGTGTGGCCGTGGTCTTGCCGTTGCAGGACCTGACGTTTCGCCAGTAGCTGTGACTGGCATCCTCAGAGGTATAACAAAGAAAGACGGAGTACTCTATGTGTCAAGGTGAGGAGCAGGGGTCATTTCGTAGAAAAAGAGCTAGGGGAACTCATTAGCATAACTCATTAGCATATGCCACACACCCTGACATCAGGGGCCCGGCGGTGGACCTGCAAGGCCAGCAGGAGTGCGAGGAAGCCCCGCCAAGGCCTTCCCTGGCCCCAGGCAGGCAGGGGTGGGAAGAGGCGGGGAGGAAGCAACTTACCCTCCCTCTTCTCCTGCCTCCTCCTGGCTAAATGAGGGCTGGAAACGGGTGGCTGAAAGCAGGGGGCGGGGCTTCGTCATGTGCCCCGCCCCCTGCACCTCACCCGGGGGAACTGCGTTCCCCCGCGTTCCCCCCGAAATGACCTCTGGTGAGGAGACAAATGGTAGGCAGGTAATTTATATCTACTCCGGAAGGTGGGGTAGGGCTGAGTCATTATCTTGTAGGAGGTCCCCAGGTTGTGGACATGCTAATGGAGGAGCTTTCCTGAGGAGGTTCTTTTGTGTATGGAGAAAATGGCCACTTTGGAAGGAGGACTCTATGGCATTGTACCCCCTTAAAGCCCCTCCTCTCCACAAACCCTCCCCTCCCCAGGTTCCAACTGCAAAATCTCCAGGAATTTCCCGACCTGGAACTGGCAACTCTAAATTACCACCTAGTTGCACCAGGGGTCATTTCGTAGAAAAAGAGCTAGGGGAACTCATTAGCATAACTCATTAGCATATGCCACACCCCCTGACATCCGGGGCCCAGCGGTGGACCTGCGAGGCCGGCGGGAGTGTGAAGAAGCCCCGCCAAGGCCCTCCCTGGCCCCAGGCAGGCAGGGGTGGGGAGAGGTGGGGAGGAAGCAACTTACCCTCCCTCTTCTCCTGCCTCCTCCTGGCTGAATGAGGGCTGGAAGCAGGGCGGCCGGAAGCAGGGGGCGGGGCTTCGTCATGTGCCCCGCCCCCTGCACCTCACCCGGGGGAACTGCGATCCCCCCCGAAATGACCTCTGGTTGCAACGTTAGATCATAAGCTGCTCCCAGAGTGCTTCCAGGCTGCTGCTGGTAAACTTGCCTTATTTCAAAGATCTTACAATTAAATTAGGGCCTTTGTAGCTGTAGGCTTTTATTAAGGACATCAGAGGAGCCTTCCTGGATCAGAGAAATGGTTTGTTTAGTCTCGTTTCCCATACTGGGCGGCTGTATGCCCCCAAAAGGGCCCAAAAGAAAAGCAGAGATTCAATATTCAAGGGTACGCTGCCTCTGGATATGGAGGTTTCATATAGCCCTTGAGGCCAAAAGAAGAAAGGCCAGTCAGTGGCTTATTGAGGGAGGCTTCGACTCTCAAAATCTTATAGCCAGAAAATCTTGGTGGTCTGGAAGGTGCTACTGGACTCCGACCTAACTGATTCCCTTTTGAAACTGTCCAGCTCACTGTCCATTGCTACATCCTGTGGCAGTGAGTTCAATTGCCAGACTGGTCATGACCTGGGCTAGGGCCTTTTCTGGGGCAGCTCAAGGTTGGTGGAATGAACTACCCAAGGACATCAGGGCCCTGCAGAGTTTATTCCAATTCCGCAGGGCCTGCAAGACAGAGCTCTTCCACCAGGCATTCGAGTGAAAAGCTACATCTCTTAATTTAAAACCAGAGCCTGTTGGGATTGCAAGTTGCTTACACTTCAGTCATTACAGAGTTAAATGTTGTTTGTTAGCAAACAGGATGTTACGTTACATAATGTATTCAATGGCGGGAAAGTTTGTGGGAGTTGTTTACCCTAATGAAGTGACCTGTAACCTTTGTATTGGTCAACTAACATCTTGTTTGTAGAAATGCTTTGATCTAGCATTAATGTATTCACAAGGTTTACGGCCCTTTGTGTGAACCAAAGTGTTAGTTCTCTTTCTAGAAGCCAAGACAGATAGAAAGATGTAGCTGTTAGCATATATTCCTGAGAGTAACTGCAAGTATGTGACCTTTTATTTTATTTCTTTTATCCAAAGTGCCCTACCCGTGTTGTATTTTGTTTTTATAGTAAAGATATTTTTCTTTTACTAAGCGTGGCTCTTGTGTTTGCAATACAACCATCGACCCTGAATCAAAGAATCCCAACAGAGCCTTACCCTGGAATTCTACCATCGGCTATTGCTATTCCTGATTGACATCTGTTATGGATAGTACTTAGATTTGTTTGTTTTGCCATCAGATGTGCAATATCTATGTAGAGCACTTTAGAATCTGTTTTTAAATTTTAATGTAAGTCACCCTGAGGCTGCCTTGGCGGGGAGGGCGGGGTATAGATCTAACAAATAAATAAAACAAGTCCATTGTGTGTTGTGTGGAAAAAAAGAACTTGATTGCCCTGTTGGCGTTATGGTATTTTTAATGTGTGCTTGCGGTTATATAGGCCATTTTATTAGTATTTCTAAAGTTTTGTTTATGCCATTTGAATGCAAAAAAGATTTCTGGCATTTAAAGAAACCAAAAAGGGTGCGCCCTACTACACCATGGAGTTTACATTTGTAACATTCAAAATATCCCTGACTCGTTTCCGCTTCTGCACAAAATGCACAAAAACACCCCAATCCTCCAGAAATACAGTCAATGATTATAAAGGATATCTTTGTCAGTAAAAAAACCAGCCTGTTATATTAGAAGCATTAGCAGCTGTACAAAAAGCTAAACACAGAGAACAGCAGAAGAAGGCACAGGAGACTTTGTTTAAATAAGTTTTGCATATTACCCAAATCTCTGAGAGATTTCGGGAAGCGTAAAGTAACTTACAATTGAATTAAATTGGTTGGTTACGAGATAGACTGATTTATTACGTATTTGGGTCTATGGCCTAGAAATTCCCACCCTGCTAACAAGGAGCTTGGGTACCTGGTTTTCCCCACCTCCAGTCCATTGTTCCCTCTAAGCTGAGTTAGTATGAGCTAGCTCACAGGTTTTTAGTCTCCGACTCACACATTTTTGTCTAAGCTCAGGAAGGAGGGCTCCAGAGTAAACTGATTTATGCAGTAGCCAAATCTCTTGCTCACAACCTTAAAGCCCGTAGCTCACAAAGTAGAATTTTTGCTCACAAGACTCCACAGCTTAGAGGGATCCTCATAACAGTCCTGTGAGGTAGATTCCGGCTGAGAAAGAGAGCGATTGCCTCAAGTTTATCCAGTGATTGGGTGGGGGATTGGGACCCGTGCCTCCCCCAGTCCGAGTTCAACCCTCTGAATACCATTCCGGCTCCTCCCCATACCCACGCAGAAACTGA